AAAGTAGTTTCCGAAAACTTCATTTGAAATGAAATGGAAGTAAGGTAAAAGACGGAAAAATGATTGAGGTAGCGACGAGCAAGCAGGCAGGGTAGAAGCAGCGGTAATATAATTATATATCTCATAACATAATAAATCAAATAAAAAAAAAAAAATCAGATTTGGTGTGCAAGAAAGTCTTTGTGAAAACGTGAACCAACACGCAAGAGTCAGCTCCCTCCTGCTGCTTTATGTTTCAAGCATATGTTTGAAAAGGACCACATGTACCAGGGCCCAAAGATCGTACGAAAATTTTTATACCTCGGTTGGAGTGCAATTTATATCCAATTTAAAACCCATAAATTAAAAGTTGTGTGTTATTTTTTGGTTAATTATCTGGCAGTTTTCAGCTTCTGAAGTCTAGATGAAGTGGTCTTGAAAAACCTGACATTCTGTTACTAGTAAAAACCAATTGAACAGCAAGTGGGCAGTCTCATCACTTGTTACTCATTCAGTAAGGCTTATGGATAAATTGAGTAGACGTTTCTCAGGGTTTCGATGTATGAGCTCGAGTAAACAGTTTACTGAATAAGAGTTTCTCGGTCTCTTTAGTCTCAGTTTCAGTCTTGCTTCTCATACAGACTTTATGAATGATTTTCATTTTAGTAACTGATGGTCCCATTTAGAGTCAAACAGACCATAAAGCAGGGTATGCTTTAGGGCGGGGCTACCTTGTGATTGACAGCTCATTCTCAGTTTTACGCACCAAACTCAGATCAGAAATAACCATAGTGTGATCAGCTAGTACCCATCGCTCATAGCGAGACGTGTTCAGGAGCTCTGTAGCTAATGTGAACTGACTCGCTGTCTGCAGATATCCCGTTGTCAGTGGGGATACTGGAGCCCCGTTCACACCCTCTGCACCTCAACACCATTGAGTTCCTCTGGGATCCCGTCAAGAGCGCTTCTGTTTTCATCCAGGTACGGATAGATTCTGGTCAAACATCTGGGAACCTTATTAATGCATATATATGGCAACCTTACAGTAGTCACTTCGTCCTCAGGTCAACTGCATCAGCACCGAGTTCACCCCGAGGAAGCATGGTGGGGAGAAAGGAGTGCCCTTTCGTATCCAGGTGGACACTTTCACTGCCAATGAGCACGGGGAATACATGGAGCATGTCCATTCGTCCAGCTGCCAAGTCAAAGTCTTCAAGGTAAGAAACTTTCTTCCCTTCTGGGATGTGATGATGTGACGTCACGTGTCGGGATGTCGCTGTCGATTTAACGGAAATTTAATAATAATAATAGACGTCTGTGTTTATATATTTCCACTTCTAATGTCTTTTTTAAGCCTAAAGGAGCCGATCGTAAACTGAAGACAGACAGAGAAAAGATTGATAAGAAGACCGTCCAAGACAGAGAGAAGTATCAGGCGTCCCATGAGACCACCCTGCTAAAAGAGGTCAGTAATTCTGTTTATTGATCCCACAATAGTGAATTCTTCTGTTATCTATATTTATCTAATCTTCCAATCAGCACATGTCCATAAAATAGTGTTTTATGTTTCTGTGCGTCTCCTCTCCGTTTACAGTTCAACCCCCGTACCGTATCAGTGTTAATATGTTGCTCTGCTTGTTTTGAGTCAGACTTTATTAAAGGTGTGCTTGCGTCAGTGCTGAGCTCTGTCAATGATTGGGGGGGGGGGTTGAACGTCAAGTGACTCAGCAGTTTGTGCTGTAGTGTTAATCTGGTTTGTCATTCATCTGGATGAAAAGCAAACATACACTGTGTGAAAACCAGCGCTGGAACTGGTCCCAGTTTAACGCTGATGCCTCTATACCACTGGTTCCCAACCTTTTCCCTCAAGGGACCCCTTTTCTATCATTTAGTACATTTACATATTTTATGGATAATTCATATTATATTAAAACTGTACAATGAACACAGACAGTGAACTCAGTAACTGCAGGACGTTTGTGTAAAACCAGAGAGTTGGATGAATTCTGAGCATACATTTTTAATCATTCAATCAAACAGACTTAATAGGCATCTATTGTGACAAATTCAGTGTTTTCTCCTCCCTGATGCTTGGCCATTGTCGTCAGTTTACACTCTTCTTGTTAAAAGAAGTGAACCAAATACTGAAATATAGACCTACTGTGTATATTTTATATCCTTACATCCCTCAAAATCAAGAAGGCCTTGCGACCCCGTGTGAAGCTTTGGCGACCCCTATTGGGGTTCCAGACCCTCAGGTTTTAAAGCTGCCTTTTATTCCATTTTAGCCACTCGGCAGTTAAAAATGTTTTAGCTTGTCGATGGCAATGCTACGGCAAAGATGCAAAATGCAGAATATTTACACATCAAGCAGACTTTGGGGAGCATTAGCATTTGTTTGGAGTAATTTTTCTCTGTTTTGGTCTCCACCAACTCCAGAAGAAAGAGTCGAAAGGCCGCTAAGCAACACCTCGTACACATAGTCCTTTGATCCATTGCTGGTATTAAAATACAGATCAGTGCAGCTTTAATATGTTTTTAACATTGATCTTTTTCTCCTGCAGCCTTTGTGCTAAAATATATTTACTTTGCCAGGTTGAATAATCAGAAAACACCTTCCTTTCGAATTCTTTCTCTCTCTCAAGTGCTCCCCTTGGCCTGATGCCCTGAATCTCACCATCCACAGCAGCAGCAGCACTCCGTCACCCGTTTACCACAGCTCGCCAACTTCCTGTGGGTTCACAGAGGGGTGAGTCAGCATTCAAGCAGAAAGTCACCATTTTGCTCCAGCCTAAATGATGTGGTTCAGCAGAGCTCTGCAGGAGAACTGTGGGTTAATATCAATGTAGGAAGCTGACAACAAAAAATAAAATGGTTTGACTTCAGCTTTGTTGATAATTTTGAATATAAAAAGGCAGTAAAATATGTAAATTCTCTTTCTAGGCCGAGGGTTTGACCGCTGTACTGCAATATATAATAGTGGTATAACAGCTCCCTCTATGGGTGCTTACCAGTATTACTCAACCCTCTTCTACAACTTGTGCTCTAAAAACAGATAAAAACAGACACTTTTCCATCAGTAACTGGACAGAAAGATGTTTTTCAGAGCGAACAAAATACTCAACCAGTCACCCCAATCTGTTCTTTCCTTCCTCCTCATGTGCACATTTCTGTAGCAACTGTTCTCCAAACCAGCAGGAGGATCTGCTCATGCCTGGCTGCTCTGATGTAAGTAACAGAGTACAGTGCAGTGTGAAAGTGTTAATGGTGCTCTCTCGTTCCTTTTAGGCCAGTATTTGGAGACAGTGGATGCTGTGCTGCTATACTCATTTCAAGGGCTCTTCTTCTTTTTGACATGTAGCACCTTCTGCCATCGTCCTCGCCGCAGGACACTCAGCAGTGGCTGCAGCGTCACAGGTTCTCACCTTTCTCAAGGCTCTTCTCCAGCTTCTCAGGTAACGGGCGTAAAGATCTCAAACACAGATAACACAGATCCACGGGACAGTTAGGATGGAGTCAGAGGAGGAGAACACTGAATATCTGTGAGCAGGAAGGAGGAAGGATAGATGTTCTTCTGTTGTTGCAGGTGGTGATCTGTTGAGGATGAGCAGGGAGGATCTGATCCAGATCTGTGGACCAGCAGACGGTATTCGCCTCTTTAACACCATGAAAGGAAGGTGAGACATTTAAGGTTACTTTCCACTAGATTTCACACTAGAGTGGCAGGATCTCAAAAAGCACCGAGTCCCCCAACAAAAGGACAGAAACAGAATCAAACTCATTAAAACCGTCTCTGTTAGTGTTTCCAACAATCACCAACTCTGGTTTGGTGGAAATAAATCCTTAATTCACCGACGTAGATGATAAAAACAGCAGTTTCA